GTATTATTATATTTGTAACATTATTACAGTACTTGTGTGTATTTCTGAAGAAGATCCCAACCAAGGATCGAAACGTCAAATAAAGAGATTTCCATTAATATACATATACACATTGTTAACTGTATCCCAAGCTCACACTGGCCGTTTCCAATTCACAGGGTCAAAAAAGTTTGAAAATCCAGTTAATTATTTTACAGACATATATCAAAATGTAGTATTTGTGGTAAAATTGGTTTTATACGTTGTGCAGAGTGCAAAACAATTGTTTTGAGTATTTCTATGAACAATGTTCCCACATAGCACGTAATATTACTGCAATATCACAGTAATATTAAAATGTCTGCCAAATCGCATCTCAGTAATATTACGATGATATTTCACAGTAATGTTACGGTGATATATCAAGAATATTACTGTAGTATTGTAAGGTTATAGATTAATTTAATATTAAATTACTTTTAAGGTGGAAAATATAGGCCGATTGGAGTTTAAACACGGTTGTTAATGTGTCAGAAAGTTATGACTTTATTATTAAAATGTTACAGACGTTTCGACCGTAGTTCCGGTCCTTTTCAATATATCTATACAATAATAAATTTTGAAATNAGAAATGGTANTCGAAACGTCTNTAACATTTTAATAATAAATTCATAACTATCTGACACACTAACAACCGTGTTTAAATTCCAATCGGTCTATATTTTCCACCTTAGAAATAATTTAAAATTTTGAAACCGTTCTTACTAAAACTACATTGATAACTTAATAAAAAAAAAATTAATCCAAAAAGGAGATAAACCACTTCAACAAATTGATCAAAGACTTTATGAGTTAAATTTTTGTATTAACTGCTCCGAAGTACGTAACAAAAGATTTCTTGAGAAAGATCATAAAAATGAATCCATTGAGTCATAAACGTGANTACATATATAGAAGAATATAAAACATTGTATTTAGATGTATTTTATTTAAATTGTTTTATTTTATTTAAACAATACTAAAAATAACTGCGTTATATTAAAGGATAATACTATCGTCTGCGTCCTTAATATCGCTAAAAATCAAGATAATAAATTTATATATTATAGGAACAAAACTGATAATAATTTATATGTTATAGGAACAAAACCTTATAATACAAATTTTTTGAATAACTCTGGTGGTAACACTGCTACAGGGACGAACGCGCGCTCTATGGTTAGTAGAGACCTGGGAGATTTTTGTTATCAACATTTTAGTAATCATGGAACGTTACACTGCAAAAGAACGAGCATTTTGTGTAGAAGCGTATTTTCGAGATAAATCAGTTGTGAAAGTTCATAGAGCGTTTCGTAAACAGTTCAAAATTAAAAGTAATGAATCTGTTCCTACGCGAAAATCTATCCTCAGGTGGGTTGAAAACTTCCGTGAAAGTGGCAAGACGACTGATAAGATTCATCCAGGTGCCAAAAGAACAGTTCGTACACCGAAAAACATCGAAAGAGTTTGCCAAGCAATAAAAATTAGTCCAACTCGTTCCGCTCGCCGTCACGCAGCTTCTTTAAAGTTATCAAGGGAATCTGTGCGTCGAATTCTAACCTCAGACTTGAACCACCATCCATATAAGTTGATGATCACTCAAGAGTTGAAAGAAACTGATTACAGACAGAGATTACTTTTCGCCGAAAACATGTTAAAGAAATTGGACGATGGTGANATTGATTTAAATAATCTTTTAATGAGCGATGAAGCTCATTTCGAACTCTCTGGATCGGTAAATAAACAAAACTTTCGGTACTGGGCAAGTGGTAATCCGCAATTCATTCAAGAAAAACCGTTACATAGCCAACGAGTTACAGTATGGTGTAGCGTCATGGGGAATTATCGGACCGTATTTTTTCGACGGTACCGTCAATGGAGAGAGGTACAGGGAGATGTTAAACTCGTTCCTCATCCCCCAACTCCGCCGCAAACGTCGTTTGAATCGAACCTGGTTTCAGCAAGACGGGGCAACTTGTCACACCGCCGCTCTTACACTTGCGTTGTTGAAAGAAACGTTTGAAATTCGTTTATTGTCACGTTCTTCAGATTTCGCTTGGCCGCCTCGCTCGCCAGATTTGACGGTTCCAGATTTTTTTCTGTGGGGGTATTTGAAAAGTCGTGTTTATGAAACCAAGCCCCGTGATCTAGAGGATTTAAAATCGAGGATTAGAGCCGAATTCGCAAAAATTTCGGCTTCCATGCTGAAGAAAGTATTCAAAAACTTCGTTAAACGATTGGAAGAATGTAAAGCCCAAAACGGTCATCATTTGAAGGATGTAATATTCCATAAATAATCTCCCATGTTTCTACTTTTCAAAGATTTTTTTGTTACTTTTATATCTGTAATACTTTTTTTGTTATTAAAGAAATAAATGTGGTCATTTTCATTGGGTCACCCTGTATCATGCAAACCACAGTTAGGAATCAACATTTAGAAATAGTTATAGTAAGGCAAAACAGATATATAGAATCATAGTTTTGTCAAAATATTTGCGCCAAAGCTTATAAAATTCCGTACCACGATAAATTTATTATCTTACCAATCCTACACATAATTGTACCTTGTAAATATTACAATTGTACGTTGTAAAAACTATATGCATAATAAATTAACTTTAATAACATTTTAATATGTGAAATTTACATATACATACACATATACATATATATGCATACACATATACATACAGTGCGGAGCACCATATCGTGCGCCGTGAGGAGAAGTAGTTCTCCTCCGGCCGCCTCCTACTATCACGCGCTAGCGGCCCGAGATTTACTCCATATATCGGAACGGTATCTTATCCTTCCTCATTAGTGTGAATTATATAACACTTTATGTAAAACTTGTAAAGGGAATGGAATGAGATATTTAAAAAAGAATTAACATTAACAAAAGAAATACTTATCATTTATCTTCTATTATTTTCACCAGAAAATAGAAAAGTAATACTAGCAAACAAATTTAATCTACGTGCTGTACCAACGACTAAAGTATCGGTAGATGGACAGCTGTATAAAGTAACGAATGCTATATTTAAGAATGGTCTGTGTATTGAAAAGCGTCTTTATACAAATATGTGTAGGGATGGAAAATCGATCTGGCACAGAACTGATGATATGCAAATTAGAAAACACCACTGGCCTAAAGGTGCTACAAATTTTTATATTCTTTTCTTGGAAAGAATAAAAAAATAAATATTTTACTATTGTTAAAAATTGAGAAAAAAAGAGAGAATAGAACAGAAGATAAGGTAATTATTTAGAAAGCGGACTTCCTCACCGATTTTAATGAGCTTGAAATATGTTGTTAAGGACGTTATTTTGAACAACTTTTCCCTATACATGTTACCGCCGGTCGGCTTTAGTTTTCGATTTAAAAACAAAAGAAGTTTCATAATTGAATACCAATTTTCCAACATTGTGTCGATTTTTTAAGTTAATATGTTTTTTGTATAACACGTGTAGACAGGGGTGGCTACGCCTCCCGCAAAAGGAGGGGCTTCGTCCCTCCTCCCTGCTCTCCCCGTTAAAAAAAACAAAAAATTTAATTAACTAATACGACTTCCGATTACATTCGCTTCATGTCAAAATTACCTAAAAAGTTTTACTCATTTCTATTGATATTAGTAAAATAGATATGTAGTAACATAAATTAACCATTGTGGAAATTTTGCGAGAGAGAATGCAGAAAGAAGAGTTTAGATTAAAGTTACGTTAGGCTTTTTAAGGGGGGTGCAGGGGAGCACAGTCTCTCTCTCTACACGCTTACGAAGCAAACATAAAAAAAACATAATTTTTCAACTGAAGTTTGATTGAGGTTATCACGCATCACCTTACGCATTGTAATATATACGTAAATGCAGTGGATTTAACGTTCTAACATAAAAACGGTTAGAGTAAATGAATATCATAACCTTTTTTATAGAAAATCGAATTTCCTACATTTCTTGTTTGACAACTTTTCCCATAACGTGATTACTTTCAGAAATAATCGTAATAATCGTAATAAACTTCTTTTGTTTATAACTCGAAAAAAAAGCCGACTGGCGGTGATATGTGTAAGAGAAAGTTGTTCAGAATAGCGTCCTTACCAACATATTTCAAGCTCATTGAAATCGGTGAAGAAGTCCGCTTTCTAAATCATTACCAAAGAAAAATTTGAAAATATATATTCTACAAAATGCGTGATGTCTCGAAAAACTTGTTTATGATAAACACATTTTATTCACTACCTGAGGTGCAGCCACGCAAAGTTTTTTCACCTTAATTATTTTTTATGTTTCGACTTTTCACAAACAGCAAAGTCTAACTATTCATACAATGATTTTATACTTTTTAGTTTTTATATAATGTTTTTAATTAATACATATTATTTGATATAATGTTTTTAAAAAAAACGTAGACAAGTGTGTACTTGGTGCTACTTTTGATATCACTTCTTTTGTAAAACAAATTTTGAAGACAAAGATATGTTTGTTTGGCGTGTACTTGGCGCCTTTTTTCCCGTTTTTAAAAAGTTATAAGTAACGAATAAAAAAATGCAAGAAATATGAGAGAAAAATCGCTATTTAACGAAATAAATCGGAATTTGTTATTAACGACCGAGCAGTCAAAAACGACGGAAATATGCAAGCATCTGTGAGCATCATTACTATTCTGTGACTTAACCGTGAGAAGCGAATACTTTCATGCTTTAACAAACACCCATTCTGTTCTCCCCTTTCACAATATGTTATACGTTCTGTGGTAACGTCTTGTAGAAACACGTATATTGTTTACCATATTTAAAGTCTGCAGACTGAAAAAATCAAAATCCAAATCACAATAAAAACGTATATATTGTAAAATTCTGTACGGAATGACAATATACTTAAAGTACGATGAAGATAGAAAATATCTTCGATAACACATTTTTCCGCGATTTACTTGCTGATAACAGCAATGATAAACAACGTATAACACGATCTCTTTCATCAGTTGTTAATTTCACATACGTCAAGACACACCAAACATGAACAGACGAGGCTACCTTTCTGTAGTCATCGGTTTAGTAATAATGGCATCTGCTATTTTTCTTGCAGGTATGGGGTTTAAATATGTTTTAAATAATTAGTACTATTATATACCATATTGTTTACCAGTGTTTTTATAAAACCAGAATGTCAAAATACGACCGCGGCCACGGGAGAATCGACCACTTCATCGTCGCCGTCGACTGCGATCCCGACCACGGTAAAATCGACCACTTCATCGTTGCCGTCGACTGCGACTCCGACCACAACAGAATCGACCACTTCATCGTCGCCGTCGACTGCGACCCCGACCGCAACAGAAGCGACCACTTCATCGTCGCCGTCGACTGCGACCCCGACCACAACAGAATCGACCACTTCATCGTCGCCGTCGACTGCGACCCCGACCACAACAGAAGCGACCACTTCATCGTCGCCGTCGACTGCGACCCCGACCACAACAGAA